GGCAGATCTCTATGAGTTCAAGGCCAGCCTGGTCTACATAGTAAATTGAGACCCTGCCACAAAATAAACAAAACAAAATTAGTGATATAACGTTTGTGTATTCTCATAATCTAGTATATTTATTACTTTGTGTATAGAATTCTGAAGGCCTTCTGTATTCCAGACACTTAGCTTCATAGGTATAAAAAGGAGGATAAGAGGAATTTATTTTGGGCCCACAAAATGGCTCAAAAGGTAAAGGAATTATAATAGTCTTGTCAAGGATTGCTAGTGTATTTGCCTTTTATCTTTGTGTGCAGAATTGAGTGATGGAACAGCACATGCAGCAGTAGAAACAGTATTCCCTGAGCACAATGAACTTGGTTATTGCCTCTGACCCTTTTGAAGCTGTGTGCTGGTGTAGTCAATCCCATCTACCAGCATAGCCCCACCTCCTGTTCACACGTGAAGATATGGGGGACTGGGCTTCAGAGGGTCATGACTACACCTGAGTTCTAAATCGTGAGCAGTGTCAAAGTGTTTCTTTTTTTTAAAAATTACCTTTAACTTTTCTGTCATAAGAAAATACTTTTTGTAAACAAAAATTCTGTTAAATTTTGTGAGAGATTACATCTTTTTCCACTTCTTTTTAAACTTCTGCTAGGCTTCAGACTAGTCTAAACTCAAAGTGCTGTTTTTATTTTTATTTTTATTTTTTTAATTTTTTTTGAGATAGGGTTTCTCTGTGGCTTTGGAGGCTGTCCTGGAACTAGCTCTTGTAGACCAGGCTGATCTCAAACTCACGGAAATCCGCCTGCCTCTGCCTCCCGAGTGCTGGCACTAAAGGTGTGCACCTCTACTGCCTGGCTAAAGGGCTGTTTTTAAAATAAGCACCAGTCATTTTGCATAATGATTTGTTGTTGAGGCCATGTTTCTTTATAATCCTGAGGGCTGCAGGATTGTCTGAATGGCAGTGTGTACCTTAATTTATTTAGTACATTTGTATTAGGTATGTGCTTTGTGTTAGTCATAAATATTAACTAATGAAGTGTACTTGGCTAGAATGCCAACACCAGGAGGCTGAGACTGGATGATGGTCATGAGTTTGGTGCTGTCAGGCTACATAGTGAGACTTTGTCTTAAAAGATCCCGTGACTGACATGTGGCTATTTCTCCTTGCTGACAGAGACAGCTAAGCCATGCTGTTGTCATTATTTGAATGTACCAGGTGTCTTGGTCTGCTTGGGATGCTATCCTAAAATGCCAGGTCATTTTATGAATATGGAACCTCAGGCAGGGTCTAGTGAAGACATCTACAGAGCCACACCTCTTAATGGCAGTGTACTGGGTGGGGGTGGGTGGGTTTTGATGTGACATTTAGAGGAATCCATGTGTTTAGATTATAGCCAATGGAAAATTGAATGTACTATTTTTCATTTAAGTTTACAGTCAACATAGAAGTATGCTGAGAAATGTAAGTTGCCCTATATTAACTTGAATTCTATTTAAAAGGATATGTATCTTTAGTCACAAGATAGAGGAACACTGGTCATTTTCACCAAGAGTTAATTGACTGTGAGTTATAGTCTTAACAATACTTGAGGATCAGAGAGTTATGTAGAAATAACAAATGCTTTTTTTTTAATTTAGAAAGGATATACTGAAAGTAAATATGAGCGAGTGGAAGGAGTGTTTTTATATTACAATAAAAATAAGTTTAATTCAGAAAATGCCAGTTCTCAAATGTGTTAGGCTAGCCTTGTTGGCTTAACTAATTTGTGGTTAACGAGCAGTGTCCTGCATGATCCCATTATTCTGACTACATGTGATTCTGCATAGAGGGCAAGTTACACCCACTGAACTCACTGCTCAGTTATTCAGCCTAAAATGCTTTGCCTCATCACATCATGTATAGCAAATGGCCATGGTGAATGCTTTCCTTCTTGTGGTTAGCTTCAAGACATAGGAATGAAGAGGTGTGGGAAACAAGACTGGAATATTCTGTTGATGCCTGCTGACTGCACAAGTGAACAGTGACGTAAGAGAGTGCATAAGTCATAACTGAGTTATTTTATGAATGATCATCTTACATGGGTGCTGACGGGTGTGTAAGAATGACTTTTCTGGAAAAATGTATGTTCACATATAACTTATGCACATATACATTCACATGTGAGTCCATTACAGATACAATCAACATAAGGATATGCAGCTATATGCCCATAATTTAGAAATGATGGTTGTCCAATATTCCTTAGAGACTTCATAGAAAGCTTTTACTGATTTAGGCCCACTCTCATATCTCTGTTTGACTTGTGATTGCATTGATGGAGGAATGCAGTATAGAAGTGAATGTTGGTTGATAATTTGTTTTCATTAGTAAGATGGTAGTAAAGCCATGAAGAATAAAACATCTTGGAATTTTATTCATTCACCCATGACTTATGCAACATTGACAGACAGAATAATTTTCAAATAATGTAAAAACAACAGAAATGGCATATGTGTATGTGTGTGTGCGTGTGTGTGTGTGTGTGTGTGTGTGTGTGTGTGTGTGTGTGTGTGTGTGTATGGTGTATGCATATATGTGTGTGTATTTGTCTAGGTATGTGTGCCTATGCATGTGGACACCAGTGCATATGTGTGTGGAGGTGAGAGGTTGACACCAGGTGTCTTTGTCATTCTCTACTTTAACTTTTGAGGGAGGGTTGTGTGGACTATTAATTTATCTATGTAAAGATGTGTTACAGGCCGGGCGGTGGTGGTGCACGCCTTTAATCCCAGCACTAGTCCCAGAGGCAGGTGGATCTCTGTGAGTTTGATGCCATCCTGGTCTACAGAGTGAGTTCCATGACAGCTAGAGCGGTTACACAGAGAAACCCTGTCTCGAAAAACAAAAACAAAAACAAAACAAAGAAAGTAAAGATGTGCTGCTTTGCCTGCCTAAGGGACCTGAGTGGTCTAATAAAAAGCTGAATGGCCAATAGCTAGCTAGGCAGTAGAGGGATAGGCAGGGATGGCTGGCAGAGAGAATAAATAGGAGAAGGAATCTAGGAATGAGAAGAAGAAACAAGAGGAGAATGAGGGAGAAAAGGGGGCAGGTGCCAGCCAACCAGACATGGAGTAGGACGTACAGAATGAAAGAAAGGTAAAAAGCCCTGAACCAAAACATAGATGAAGCGAAACAGGTTAAGTTATAAGAGCTAGTGGAACAAACATAAGCTAAGGCTGGACATTCATAACTAATAATAAGTCTCCATGTCATTATTTGTGTGCTGGATGGTGATCCAAAAGAAACCCTGTGCTACAGAGGGTTTTTTGTTGACTCTAAGCTCTAGTTGACTGGCCAG